CACAGCTTTTGACCAATGTTATGATTTTTTACGTTTTTTTACCTTTATTTTAGTTGTTTGTTTACATGGCCTTTATTTCATCCAGATTTTAAATTCCACTGGTCTGAAGGAAAATCTGATTTGCCAACAGTTCTGTCTTCAAAATTAATACAAAAATCATTGAAAATTGTTTGAAAAATCTTGATTAGGATGAAAATGTTGATCTCGGTCACGGAAATTGGTCTAAATTCCAATACTTTCTTTTGAGTTATGTGCAAAATACTTGGATAATGTAATTTCTGACCTCATAATTCTATATTTACTTTGTCTATAAAGACTGAAACCTCAACATTTTCTCTCCCTCTCATTGAATTTGGTAAAAGTCTCTCCACAGATGTCCTTATACATGTATCTCTTTTGTTATTATATTGACTTAAGGATTAATTTATATTTGATTATTAATTATTATTATTATTATTATTATTGTTATCATTATTATTATATTATATTATATTTAGATTTAAGCTATGAGTACAACACATTTAAGTATGGGGTAGTTTTTGTGAGGTAAAAAAAGGTTTAAAATGATGTCTTACATGCCATGGAAGCCTACACCACCAATGCCTGTGAGCTAAAGCTGGGGTACGTAACTCTAAAACCACAAAAAAATCCATCTCACAACACTTCCGTCTCTCGTCTTCACACAGATTTATCGCCTTTTTGGCCTCTGTCAGAAAATCCAAAAATCTCTGAGCCCAAAGGGTCAAATAGTGACTCACAGGGCTTGATCTGTCGGGACAAACAACATGTATCATCTATGGTGAAAAGTTAGGTACCCGAGCTTTAAATAGGAACCATCACAGCGTTTAACTGTCTCGGATTGTCTTTCTCTTTGTGTGTCCTCTGCTTTGTTCCATATTCTATAGACTTAATATAGTTTTAATGGACTTGTGTTGATAGATCTGAGCATACAGCACTTTGTAAACGTTTTTACGAAAACGTGCTATACAGATAAATACGTATTATGATTGTCAGACAGAGCTAAGAGGTGGGATTCAAGTTTGAGGGTCTTAAAAACGCAATTAAGTAACGAAACGACTGGTTATTGCCTCTGACTAGACTCAAAAAATTTGTTTTTTTGAGCTTCTGTAGACAATAGTTGAACGAAAAATGTGACTGGGACCAGACTTTATTCACAGAGAATAAGTCATATGAGAATAAGTCACCGCAGTCACAATCACAGAGATAAAATATATTCTAATTTCTAAGCTCAAAAAAGTGCTTGCGGTGGAAAGAAACAGTATCCATAGAGTATCCATAAAACAATTTAATGAGAAGAACTTTGCCTTGAATTTAGTTTCACTTTTGTTTCAGGTTCAGCTGTTGGTGTGTCCTGGGATTGATCCCAATGATAATAATGGCTCAAAAAGGTTGGGGAACTCTGCTTTATGGCCTCAGAACAATGGACACACATAGACCAAGTTTGTTGCCAATATTAGATAGATTTAGATTTGAGTTGCCTGGATTTTTAGTGTCTTAATATTGCAAGTAACTACTGCTACTACTACTACTGCTACTGCTACTGCTGCTACTACTAGTACTGCTACTGCTACTTACTACTACATATTTAACAAGCCTATACTGTCTTGTTTATCTCATACTAAGACACAGATTTTCTCACTTGGATGGAAAGGAACCCTGGCATTCTACAGCAGTCAGAACATAGACATGGCCAGACTTTTCTATCCACACACACTTCCTCCAGCTCATCTGGGGGAATCCTGAGGTGGTTAATGTAGACCGAGCTGTAAATTGAGAGCTCTGACTGCAGACGCTGCTCCCTCTTCACAAAAACTGTCCGATACAGCGACCGCATCCCTGCACACGCTGCATCGATCCGTCTGTCAATCTCACCTCCATCTCTCTCTGTGAACAAGACCTGAGACACATGAACTCCTCCACCTGGAAAGGACCAGGACCTGGAGAGGACCAGGACTTGGAGAGGACCAGGACCTGGAGAGGACCAGGACCTGGAGAGGACCAGGACCTGGAGAGGACCAGAACCTGGAGAGGACCAGGACCTGGAGAGGACCAGGACCTGGGGAGGACCAGGACCTGGAGAGGACCAGGACCTGGAGAGGACCAGGACCTGGATTCGACCAGGACCAGGGCCTGGTCCTCTCAAACTGTGCTCGTTAGTTGGAGCCAACAGGATGACATCGTCTGCAAACAGCAGAGATAAATCTTGTGGTCTCCAAACCAGAACCCCATCCGGCCCCTGGCCGCGCCTAGAAATTCTGTCCATAAAGAACAGAAGCGGTCACAAAGGGAAGCCTCGGCGGAGGCCAACACCAGGAACAGGTCTGACTCTGGTCATACAGGGACCGGACGGACCTCAGCAGAGGACCCCGGACCCCGTAACGCCGGAGAAACCCCCAAAGGACACCCCGGGGAACAAACGGTGAACTCCTTTATCTGCTGAAGGTTAAAGAGACTTTAGCTGAGGCTGAGGAGAGAGACCCCCCAACCTCAGTGAGGGAGAGAGAAGTCACCGTCCAAGATCTTCAGCCTCTGTCTCCTGTAAGTTTCTAGGGTTGATTTTCAACAGTCATAGATACAAGATCTAGATTCAGTTAAGTTCTTCTAACTGTTGTTTCAGGCTTAACAAACATAAATATGTTCCTTGAGCAGTGATAACAAGAGTACAGTAAAAGAGTCGCAGCAGAAACCAGTCCGACTATTGCTGCTCCAATGAAAGACACAAAATGACCTTTGCTCATAATATTCAATAAATCAAAGAAATAAACTAAACCACAAATAAACCTTTATGCCACTGTTTATTTATTTGTAAAGAATGTTATGTATGTAATGACAGATCCTTGATGAAATATTGTGCTAATCTATTGTGTTAAACTCCTCAGACTGTCAGTCAAGCTGCATAGGGAGTCAGTTTGCTGGGAGAAGTATGGTAACTTGAGCACTATCCTCTCCTCCTTCCTACTTTATCTGTTTAGCATTATTAGGATTTTGACTATAGTTTGTTCATTACTATTCACCCGTTGTCCCATTGTCTGTTTCATGGTACGATGACAGGATCTCTGAGCCTGGCCTCCTCCATCTACACCTGCGGACTGCCCCGCCCGACCCGCCTGGGAGTGCTTCAGTCCTGCACCGGACCTGTCCACGTTCAGCGGCCACTGGTCCACGTTCTGTAGCTAGCTTAGGTCCTAGATCATTAGTCTGTCCGTCCGGAGGAGCGGATCCCTTTCTCAAATGGGTCTCCCTCCCTGTGGGTTTCCCTAGTTCTCCCCAAGGTTTCTCACTTTTTCCCACTGGGTTTTTTAAGAGTTTTTCCTTGTCAATGCAGGAGGGTCTTGTTGGACAGTTAGTATCCAACAGAAAGGATTGGTGATGATCGGGACACTTTAGCATTCTACAACATGTATGGACATTTTCTTCTGTGTGAGCTTTATATTTTTTAACTGTTTTAACTGTTGATTCTCTGATCTGTGTTGGTGATTTCAATGGTTTTGTTAAGTCTCTGAGATGACTTCTGTTGTGACCTAGGGCTATACAAGAATAAATTGTATTGTATTGTATTAATTATGTCATAAAGCATGTAACATTGTGTTCTCCTGCTTGTGTGTCTGTCACATTATCAGATCTGCTTTTTCAAACAGTCACTCACAGAACTCTTTCTATTGTGTTAGGACTGGCACAGCTCGGCCCAGTCAGGTCTGAATCTGAATACAGACCCTGAGGAATTCACTAAAACCTCATATCGAGTCCAGCCAAAGAAGACTCAATCTGAAACTGAGAGCATGTCGAGGTGTTTGTGACGAAAGGCCATTAGTGAAAACACCTCTTCTCCTCCTGGTGCTTTAATTAGCACGTCCAAACTCAGGCCCGTGGGCCAAATGCGGCCCGCTGTGTCATTTAGGGCGGCCTTCTGGAGTGGACTTTTTTTCTGGTTTCTTTACTTACTTTTGGATTTATTTTCCTTATGTTGTTTATTAGTTTATATTTAGCTGATTTTGGGTCCTTCCTTGTTTTAATAGCATCATCCAGCCAACTTCAGCTCCACCGATAAGTCATGCGATGCCTCGTTGTAAAGCTCAGAATGACGCTAATGTAGAGGATTTCTCTGACTCGTTCTCTACATGTCGTGGTCACAGCTGTAGTGACTTTGATGACCGAGACCTAAAAATCCTCATTCATGATTTTAGTGATGATCCAAAGTAAAAGAGCAGAGATTATACAAAAAAGTGATTCATGGACTTTTGTTTCATGCTCAAAATTGTGCGTGTGTAGCATAAGTTAGTTTCCAAAGCTACAGACACACGCAAAAAAATATTAAAAAATTAGCAAAATGTTGTGTGCTTTTTGCGCTGTTTGGCAAAAAAGTAACAAGGAAGTAACCAAGAAGTAACAAGGAAGTAACAGGAATTGGAATCTTAAATAAAACCATCCTCTAAGAAAGCAATGTATTTTTTTGTCTCTCTCTTTTTAATAACACAAAAACACAGATGCAGTTTGAGGGTAAACATGTCTAAAACCAAGTGACAGAGTGTGTGTGTTTGTGTCTCTGTGTGTGTGCGTGTGTGTGTCTATGTACATGCGTGTGTGTCTGTGTCTCAGTGTACGTGTGCGTGTATGGGTCTCTCTGTGTGTGCGTTTGCATTTGTTTGTATGAAAATAAATATATAAATAACATGTGACTGACAGCGGATGTTAGCTCTGACTGCCACCTCCAGACCCAGCAATGGATGAAGGGGAAGAACGGCACAGTGGCTGAGAGGTTAGCACTCAGCAAGAAGGTTCCAGGGTCGAATCCCGGTCGGAACAGTGGAGTTAGCAATAGTTCAGGGTGAATGAGTGTGAGTTTGTGAGTGCGAATGTGGGACGATGGATGGAAATCAGCCCAACGCTACAATCTGGAGTGATCATGAACATGTACTGTCCCAACTGAACACACAATAAAATAAATAAATAAACAAACATGGGTTGATAGATTGTCTTACGGTCAGCGCAGTAGTCCCCGGTCCAGCCCTGGAGACAGGTGCGGGCTCCGTCAGCGCCGCATGTGTAGTGGCCGAAGGTGTCGTTGCGCGGGCGGCAGTAGGCGGCACAGGCCTCGCCGTGGTAGAAGTCACTGCAGACGACGTGGTACGAGAAGCGGAGCTCGCTGCTGTCACCGTAGTGAACGTCCTGCGCCCAGTCCTGCGCCACGCTCAGAGTGCGCCCCGTGGCCAGACGCGTCAGAAGGTTGTTCTGGTTCTCTGTCGGGAAGAGAGAGGAAAACTAGAACCAGGAAGTGCCAAAACATTAGTCCTGGTCTCAGGTCTCTGCACCTGTGGCTCAGAGAAAAGACTTTAAAGCAGCTGCTGGGACTCTGAGGAGCACAGGGACTGGCCTCCTGCTGGGACTCTGAGGAGCACAGGGACTAAACATGAGGAGGCAATGTTTCAGATTCATACAGCTAAAATCTGGAACAGTCTTCCTAAAAATATGAGACAGGCTTCTTCTATGACTTAGAGTTCCTTGTGTATGAACTGTGCTATACAAATGAACTTGCTTTCCATAAAAAAAAAAAAATCAAGATTCAAGTTTATTTTCCAGTTGCAGTGAAACCACAGTGGAATAACTGTGCGAGAGCCTCCAGTGAGCAGCAGACCCTGAACAGACACAGTTTATAAAAAGACACAGAAATGTAAAGTTTTTGACCAAAAATGTCTCCTTTAAAATGAGAAACAAATGAACTAAAACTAAAGTAAACTGCTCCGACTTCTCCTTCTCTCAGTTGTGTTGTTTTAAAATGAGTATGTTTCTAATAAATATAAAGAAATAAAAATACAATTATAACTAGATTTAAAAAACGACTAAACTTCTTTTCCCATCGGCAAAACGAATCCTAAGAACGTCAACCTAAATGAAGAGGAATAAAGCTTTTTTATTGATATTTTAAACTTATTCATGTCCTTTTTAGCCGAACAAGATGTCAAGTCCACACTGTAAAAAAATTTCACGAAGTTCCTTTTTCAAAAATTGCCAAAAATGTTGACTGACTTTAAACACAGCAGATACAACCATAAAACTCTCAGTATTTATTAATCTCAAACCTCATGAATTCATCCATATTTTTACATATATTATTCATTATTATATTATTTCAGGGGTTTTGAAAAAAAATTGTTGCAGTTTTCTATAATAAAAAAAATATCAAAATTGTTTTACTGCAAACAAACAAACAAACAAACACAGGTCCAGGACATGAATGAAAGTAGGAAGGGACATTTTTTAATCCAAGTTTTGTTTCATTTTGACTAAAAATCAAATCCGAAAAACACTTCTCGACGACAGAGATTCAAAAATACCAAGAATGAGTCAAGGCCAAAAATAGAGAGAAGGTTTTGTTTATTGAAACGGTCTCAATAATTAAACTAATAATTAAATTAGTACATACAAATTATATATTATATTTTGATTAGTCATTGAGAAATAATATAATAAAAACAAATATCATTTTCTCGTTCTTTTTTTATTTTTTAATCATTTTTACATATTACCAATCTGTATTCCAGACTCACATTGACACGGTCCATGCTTTAAAATAATAGAAATTTAGATTTATAAATTTAGTTAAAGGTTTATAGGAGGATTTTCTAGTTCAGGGCAGATCAACAAGACTATTGTTGGAGGTTGGTTGAAAAAGTGGGCGGTTCTTTCCTAAACTTTGGGAAAATCCTCCTATAAACAGTCTCGAGTCTCTCAAGCAGATTTAATCACGATTCCCTCAAAACAGAAATATTATGGGCTAAAGCTGATACAAGAAAAACATTTGCCAAAGAGAGGATTATTTCTCGCTTCACTGGCAACAAGTTCAAGTTCGTTTAACTTTCTACGATTCATTCAATTTGCTTTGAATAAGAAAAACTCTGCAGAAACGTAGACTTTGGTTAAAATCACGGGTTCTGATGACTTTAGCAGAAGTAACTGTTGTATTCACGACCAAGAAAAATCAAAAATTGCGTTACTCAAAAATGTATTGAATCAGCAGAGATTAGGATTTGTCTCATCAAAGACATTGTTTTTGCAGTGGAATGTGTGCTTTGTTTTTTTGGAATTTATTTATTCCTTCATTCAATAATGTATTTATTAATTCAATTATTTATATATTTATATATATATATATATATATAATTTTTTATTTATTTATTGTATTTTTATTAATTATTGTATTAATATAATTTATTTCATTTATTTTATTTATTTATATATATTAAAAACGATTTACAATCAGCCATGTTTCATCACAGACTTTTAAACGTAAAAACTCTTTCCTGTTCCAGTATAAGTTCCCATCAATGAAAGAAAATGTCGAAAACTTTTTCTTGTTCTTTTTCTCATAAATTGAATCAGTTTGAATCAATCCCCACGACCCACAACACTCTGCAAAAAAGTGCTGAAATCTCTGGAGATTTTTGCACATTCTGCCTTAAAACAAGATTTTCCAACAGGACTAAGAGCAAAATGAAAATGTTTTAAAAAAGATACAACAAATGTATCCCTTGGAATGAGAAAATACAGCAACAGTTCTTGTTTTAAGTCAGAATGTGTCAAATTAAGACAAAAACAAATCGATTCAATCAAATATTACCTTATTCATTCATTTCAGTGTATATCAAAGTCAGATTTAACGGTGATTTCCATCATTTTGGAAAGTAACTTTGCTGTGTTTTTCTACTGTTTAACTCCTGTGACTGTTTAATTATTACATTATTTTGACTATTTCTACATGTTTCTTTAGTGAACAAATGGACACACATAAAACAACTTAAACAGGCTTCAATCTGTTCAAATTCACACATTTATTCATTTTATTTAGCTTTTGGCTGAAATAGGTTCATTTACTTTCATAACCCAGATGCTAGAACAGAAAGACATGTTTATTTGTTTACAAAAATACTTGAATTGAGTTGACCACAGCTTACAATTATATATATGTATTTTATTTAACAATTTAACGACTTTGGTTTGATTTGGATTTCCCAGTTTTTCCAATAAAGCGACTTAAATTAGGATTAAACCGTTTCTCACATGCTAACCAGAGCATGCTAACATTTTAAGCTATCAAAAATTATTGAAACTCCACAATAATCGTACTGATCTAGAATAATGTGTTAGTGATGTATTTACCGGTGGATTCGGACTCGGCAGACTCGGCTTTCCACGCCTCCACGATGAGAGAGAATGTTCCCTGAGGAGGACAAAAGAACAAAACACTGAGAAAACACACTGAAAATAACTTTATTTATTCTTTATACAGAAACATGTTTTTATTAGAATCCACTGTTTAGAAAGATTTGACAAATGAAAAGTCAGAAAAACGAGTAATTTCGAAGGATTTGTCCAGTTTAAAATAGTATTTCTTACTACTACTACTACTACTACTACTACTACTACTGGTAATACTACTAATGCTACTAATACTACAACTGCTACTAATACTACTACTGCTGAGAATACTGCTACTACTGCTACTAATACTACTACTACTGTAGCCTGGTCGTACCACACCATAGTACAAATTACATTCTGTACTAGGGTCTGTATTTGCTCCGTTAACAGGTGGGAGGGGTTAACTCCTTTTGCAGATTGAAAGGATTGGATCTGAGTTTACTGTGACGTATGTAATGAGCCCGAGTGAGTCGTTAGCATTTAGCATTTAGCCTAGCTTTAGCCATCTCCTTTACCACTAACGGAGCCCGTGGGGAGTAGAGCCACAATCTTTTCCAGTGATTACATTTGCTAAACATTCCTCTTGCTCCGGCTTCAATTTCTTGATAGAACCAGAACAGAATACTTTACAATTGCATTCTTCGCCAAACTACAACCTGCCCGTTCAACGCAAACTCTTCACATCACCCACAACTAACTACAACACCCGCCTCCCGCGCTCTCTGATTGGTCAGATGGAATTCAACCGATCACAAACACAGGGACCAGACCCAGACGTTACGTGCAGGAAAAGATGATGGACCGGAGTGTACGGATGGATAAGGCCGGGCTAATACTACTACTGCTGCTGATACTGCTAATACTACCACTAGGCGACTTGTTCCTTTGACACATTTTTTTCCGTAGTCAAATTAAACTCAATCTCGGATGTATTCGCTATTTTCTCAATTAAATATAATTTTATTTGCGTACTATATTTTAATACTATTTCAAGATAGATAAGATTTCTTATTTTCATTCTTAACTACTATTACTAGTTTAGAATATTACTATTCAATTACTATTTCAATGCTTTTATGCTTATTTATGAATTGTGCTATACAAATAAACTTGCCATATACAACAGGGACCAGTGTGTTATTATTACCCTCTGTTTCTTTGCATTAGTGTGAAAAAGAAATGTAACTATAAAACTTATACGAACTGAAAAAAAACTCAATATTTTAGCAAATGATAAAAACTAAAATGTGCTGTTTTTCAGATTGACATGAGTTTTGTTTGGACTCAGGAGAATGTCACAGAGTTGTTTATGATTCAAAAAGGATCATTTTGTCTTGTTTTTGTGGATCTTTTGAATCTTTAGAATGTCTTTCCTGTCTCCGTCGTGAAGAGGTTGAACGTCGCTCTGTGAGGATCCAGACAAAACAACAACATTCAGAGGGAGATAAGAACAAACAGAGTCTTCTGTGAGAATTTTAAAACAGGAAAATGCTAATTATGTGACTTCAAATAATAAAAACAGTTCATAATTGACTTTTCTCCTTCACTTACTTCAATTTATTTTCCCGTGGAATATCATTCATTTTACTCACGCTGTTACTTTTTTCAGTAACAAGTAATCTAACTAATTACTTTACTGTAACTATAACGCCGTTATCATTGCTGACACCCCGTTACAGCACGTTACTCAAGTCGCACATTGAACTTTTTTTTTTCCTTCATGATAGGACTCTGTTGTCATGAGAGAAGGGAGGATGAGAAAACCTCTCAGCAATTATTGGCTGATGTAAAACATATTTCCTTTACAATCTACATGTCTACAGCTGAGAGGATGGTCTTAAACTGTGTTTTTGAAACAAATATGGGTCTTTATAGCACTCAACCACGGCTTTTACTTAAGTGCAGAATTCGGCTGCATCCAATTCCATCATAAGGCTCCTTTCTTGTCCTACATCTGCTAAGGGCAGCTACAGGTTTGGCTAACATACATATAACACATTTTAAGATTATTTAAAATGCACTTAAGGTATTGTTCCAATGACGATAGGAATGATAAGAAAGAGAGGTGAAGTGTAAGACGATTGATTTTAGAAATTGGATGCACCCGAGAGTCAGCGAAACACAGAGGAGTTTATGGAGGAGACACCTACTTTGTCTAAAAACTCAATGGACTTATTTCCAAATGGAGGATTACATATCTACGCTCAAACTATTATCTGGACTTAAACATGAAACTGGTCTGAACTGGTCTGTGCAGGTCACGTTTAAGGTAAGACCCATAACACACTAAAATGTGCTTTTTCATACTTTTGCGTTTTGTTGGTCGTGTTGATTTATATGATATATATGTCCATCTGATTGGGCTGAAGTCAGTGCTTCAAAGGTGTTCCCACATTCACAGTGGCGGGTGCTGGTGTTTAGTGCTCACAGCACAGAGAGAGATGAAGAGTGAGGAGGACTCCTGCAGCAAAACGCAATAGCTACTTTTACTGGTAACTTTTATATGTGGAGTAACTCCGTTAGTAACTCAATTACTTTTTGGGAGAAGTAACTAGTAACTATAACTAATTACTTTTTCAAAGTAACGTGCCCAACACTGATTTTAAACAATGATTGATGATTTTATTTCAGTAAAGCTACAGTTTGGGACGAAAGGTTGTAAAATATATGGTTTTTATAGAAAGTAGAGCCATGACTTAATATTACAGAGACAACTTAAAGCCAAGGTACTTAATTTTGGGTTTAATATTATTTATAAATTATCATTATGAGACTTGTATAAAAGGATCATCTTCATCTTTTTGAAAACTTTTTATCTAAGCACAGGCTACGACCAGGAAGTACATACTACAACCTAGAAGTACATACTACTGTCACTCCCGTATTCGTCCCGGAAACCGGATTCGTCCGGAAGTTCAGTTTGATCCAATGAGCATACGCAGCAGTAGATTACGTCACGGAATCTGGACGGAAGCGGAAGTAAAAATAAAAAACTGCCTATTCATGCCTAAACTTAACCAGCCATTCCCATAAAATAACCCCAACCCAGCCTTAACCCTAACCTTAACCATCTTACTCAGACATATTAAACTTTTTGACATGCGCAAAATTAACTTCCGGACGAATCCGGTTTCCGGAACGAATACGGGAGTGACAAATACAACCAAGAAGTACATACTACAACCAGGAAGTACATACTACAACCATGAAGTACATAGTACAACCAAGAAGTACATACTACAACCAGGAAGTACATACTACAACCATGAAGTACATAGTACAACCAAGAAGTACATACTACAACCAGGAAGTACATACTACAACCAGGAAGTAAGACCAGGAAATCATGTCATTGCCTACAACCAGGAAGTTGCTGTGCTTTTAAGATTAGACTTTACTTTTAACCCAGACAAGAGTCCCAGTTAAAGTTTTTAATCTCTGATGTTACTTCCTGGTAAGAACTGTGTCATAAACTGGGCCAAAACAGGAACCACAACTTCACAGAGAAAGGACACTTTGATCTAAGAGAGAAAGTAGTTTTACGTTGTAGCGGTCGTGGATCTCTCTCTCTGTGATGTCATTAGTTCTGGAATGTTCTCTACTTCCTGTATGAGTTCTTGCTTCAGCTTCATCTGTTGTGTGTATTTGACATGGTCTCTCTCTGTCATCCCAGCGGAGAGAGAGAGAGAGAGAGAAACATCACTGAGTCATCTCTCAGGCCTCACGTTAAAGCCGGGGTTTGTAACTTTTTATTTCAGAATCAATACTGTTTACTTTTCTGTTCGGAGGAAGGCTGATGCGACAAACAACATGAAAACTAACGTCTTTGAGGAACTCGATATATAGATTTGAGAGACAGACAGAGAGAGAGAGAGGGATCGAGAGAGCTAGAAAGAGACATAGAGAGAGACAGAGAGAGATAGAGAAAGACATAGAGAGAGAGACAGAGAGAGAGAGAGAAACCGAGAGAGAGACAGAGAGAGAGAGATGATAAAGATAATTAAATAGGTTCCCAAGCTTTAAGATGAGCGAGAGGAGAAGTCCAGGTATTTTTTTGGTGCCAATGGCCCTCATGTATGAAACTTGCGTACGGCCAAATCAGGGTCTAAATGAGGCGTACGCAAAAAATTTACCCTTTTTTGGCATTTATCAATCTGGACGTGAGCGAATGGTACGCACGGAATATCCACCGAGTCAATAGGTTGTGTAAATGTGTACGCTCATCTCAACCTTCATCACAACCAAAACAGGCATGAAATTCAACAATTTGGACAACAATAAAAATGTTGGGGCGACAGTAGCTCAGTTGGTAGAGCATTGGCCTTTGGGCCTGAAGGTCGTGGGTTCGAGCCCACCATAAGACCTACTTCACAACTCCCGCTGATGATTGCTGTCGTTGTGTCCTTGGGCAAGACACTTAACCCCACTTTGCCTGAAGCTCCCACTGAAAGATCTCAGCTCCTGTGGACTCACCACCTGCAGGAGGATCAGTGAGGGGCTGGTGCTCTGTGGACTGGGTGCAGCTCTGACTGCCACCCCCCCAACCCAGAAATGGATTAAGGGGAAGAAAATGGATGGATGGAATAGAAATGTTCCCACTCTGGCAACATAATAAACTGTGTTTTCATTAAGAATCACATTTGGAAACTTTAATTTGCGCATCAGAAAACTCAAATGGAAACACTCACATTTCATGTGTGTGTATTATTTTCATCTGTATGTTTTTTAAATGTGAAGCGCTTTGTGATCCTGCTCTGTGAAGGTGCTATATAAATACACTTGACTTACTTACTTAATGTGTGACCTTCTATTTCTCCATAAATCTGTGGCAGACCCTGCGTAATTACGCACGGCTATTTGTTTTGTCTCATTCACCTCTGGCAAAGCAACGTATTTCTTCATTAGTTTTGTGCATAAAGGCCATAAACGCAGCGATGGCAGAGATACGGCAAAGTGCTGTGGGAACGGGCTCACGGGCAGTGGCTCTGGGGTAGTGGCTCTGGGACAGTGGCTCTGGGACAGTGGCTCTGGGACAGTGGCTCTGGGACAGTGGCGTCATTCGAACGTTTTGGATCCAGAGTTTCTCTGTGAAATCACGGACACTTCCCAAACTCATTGGCATCCTTTCTCTCTCACAGAGATTGCTCCATTGCATTCACGAGAGGATTCCGCTGACGCTTGACCCAGCAAATGATGAGGGTCACCGCTGAGATATTAATATTAATTAATTCATTCATTCATTTCTAAAGTTCATGAGAGATGAGTGCTGCAGTGGGTCTAGACACTAGGGAAAAAACGCGTATATAAAATATAGTGTAATTCTTCTTTTTTTTTTTATAATAAAATAAAACTCAATATAAACTCGGTCTTGCTGGCCGACTTCTACGCTGATCTGTCGTAAAAATGGGGCATGAAACGGGCAGTTTTTGAATATTTCTAGGCGTGATTTCATGAATCCCCTTAGTTTGGAGCCCTGCATTTATCAACAGCCGCGGCTGCGTACGCTCAGATCTATGCGGATCTCACACGTTCATAAATCCCGCGTTGGATCTGGCGTATTTGGAATCTACACCAAAATATACACCCTTTTCTGCGCAAGTTTATCAAATGAGGGCCAGTGTGAGCTGGTAAGCTTGTTAGCTGGTTAGCTAGTTTGCTGGTTAGCTGGTTAGCTTGTTTGCTGGTTATCTGGTGAGAGGTCTTCACTCACCGGCCATTTGAAGTGGAAGGGGATGAGGATGGCGGCGTTCCCGGGCACAGCGTGGATGTGGTAGATGTCGGTGAGTTTGGTGCCGTAAGTGCACGGCGGCTCGGGGTTGATGACGTCCTGAGTGTGTTTGAGGCAGATGCGGAAGAAGACATGGCAGTCGGCGGCGGCACAGACCCCCCGCGAGCTGCGAAACGAGTCGATCCTCAGCTCGAACACGCCCGAAGCAAAGACCTGTGCAAAAAAGTGGTCAACGTTGGGGGAAAACTACAAACATGGCCGACAACAGTTCATTTAGATTCAATGGATTTTGTGTTGTAAATGTCTCCATAGTGAGATCAATAAAGTTTGTCTTATGTTATAGCCCTAAATCACAACAACAGTCGTTAGCGAGGACTTCAGAAAGTTGTCGATTCGCCAACAACAGATCAGAAAATCAAACCATCTAAACACAGGAAATACAATATTACTTTATGTTGTCTTGTGTAGGAAAAGCACTCGACAAATAAAGATTGATTGATTGAATAATAACAAACACATAGAAGCCGTTGGGCTTGGGTTCAGGGAACCGCGCAAAAACCCAGTGGGAAAAAAGTGAGAAACCTTGGGGAGACCCACAAAGAGAGAGAGAGAGACCCACAATGAGAGAGAGACCCACAAAGAGAGAGAGAGACCCACAATGAGAGCGAGACCCACAATGAGAGAGAAACCCACAAAGAGAGAGAGACCCACAAAGAGAGAGAGACCCACAATGAGAGAGAGACCCACAATGTGAGAGAGACCCACAATGAGAGAGAGACCTACAAAGAGAGAGAGACCCACAATGAGAGAGAGACCCACAATGAGAGAGAGACCCACAATGTGAGAGAGACCCACAATGAGAGAGAGATCCACAAAGAGAGAGAGACCCACAATGAGAGAGAGACCCACAATGAGAGAGAGATCCACAAAGAGAGAGAGACCCACAATGAGAGAGAGACCCACAATGAGAGAGAGACCCACAATGTGAGAGAGACCCACAATGAGAGAGAGATCCACAAAGAGAGAGAGACCCACAATGAGAGAGAGACCCACAATGTGAGAGAGACCCACAATGTGAGAGAGACCCACAATGAGAGAGAGATCCACAAAGAGAGAGAGACCCATTGACAGACAGACTGTAGATCCAGGACTCTTAAACGTGTTAGCGACACCTTCCTCTACTTCCTGGTGGTGTCGTGTTGGTTGTGTAGTTATTAAATCCCATAAATGTGTTTCTGCGTTGCTTGAAATGCCGCTCCGTTCTACAGTTTCTCCGACTCGCCTCTCCGCAGATCTAACTAGGACAATAAAGTGGGCGGCACGGTGGCTGAGTGGATAGCACTCTCGCCCCTCAGCAAGAAGGTTCTGGGTTCGAATTCCGGTTGGAACAGGGCCTTTCTGAGTGGAGTTTGCATGTTTTCCCCTTGTCTGCGTAGGTTTCCTCCTGGTGCTCCGGTTTCCTCCTGGTGCTCCGGTTTCCCTTACCACTAAAAACATCGGCAATAGTTCAGGGTGAATGAGTGTGTGTTTGTGAGTGCGAATGTGGGACAACGGATGGAAATTAGCCCAACGCTACAATCCATCTACAATCCAGAGTGATGTGTTCATGAACATCTACTGTCCCAACCAAATACACTATAAATAAATAAAAAGTTACGTGTTTGTCTCCAATGTGACCGAAAAGCTAAATGACAAATTGTATAAACATCCAGGAAAAACTAGCATGTGCTGAACAACCATGAGCTGGGGTTTTTTACATATGATGTGCATGTGTTGGGTAGTGTGGGGGAAACCGGAGCACCTGGAGGAAACCCACCCCACCATACAGGGAGAAACATGTTTTGATGATTGAGGTTCAATATTAACAAAAGTAAAGTTTGTGTTTTGACGTTTATAGACTGTCCTCAAAAGTTAATATTTTTGGAACATATACCGTAGTATTATTAAAAACTGGATTCAATTTTATGTTTTTACATTTAGCAAACATGAAATCTCACTCTCTACACTCCTCTCTGCAGAAAAGACTTGTAACTTTGTCTATAGAATCAATTTTCGTGCTAGACCCTCAGAAAGTTACGTAGAGCATCTTTAAACATGAGTTATTTCGCAGCCAAAGCAGCTACAGTAAAAAAAAACTATTTTAACAGTGAAAAATGACCAAAATAACAGAAATACACTTCTTTTCTCACAGAACACACAGTAAAAGCGCAATATCTTTAAATTATTTTGCTAACCCTGAATATTGACCGCAGACTGAAGACAAGGCGAGATAAGAGGGTCTTTAGTGCCACTGCAGGGGAATTTCAGTGTTGTAACGCAGCGTAAGAACAGTACATGAGCATATAGATCTTATCACATTGACAAAATTGTAATGCAAAAATTGTCATAACTAATTTAAACCTGGATTTGAATGTGAGTCTGGCTGTTTTAAAAGGAGAATAACCCTAACTCTAACTCTAACTGGGAATAAGAGGAGAGAAATCTTTGCTTCCGACAAGATTTAACAGTTAAATTTCACAGTTAAAAGCAACACCACGAATTAAAATAGCTTCCGTTGCGAACATAGGTCAAATTAGATAGATAGAGCAAGATCCATGTTGCTGCTTGAAATGAAAAAGTGAAAAAGTCTTAATTCTTTGAGCCGGGACTTTCACAAACACAAAGAACTAATTTCTTTATTGTTTTGGCTTCTAAGTTCTTAATTAGTCTCTCTACACTTAAACCGAAAGTTCACCGCGCTGTAAACGTGATATAAGTCAGACTTTTCACCCCTATAAAGATCGTGGCTTATCTTGGAGAGCGACCAGTACCAGTGTCGGCCGCTAGAGGGAGCGCAGGGCTGTGAATCCAGTCTGAGGTTCAAAAAGACGGAGTTCATGGCGCGCTCAGCAAAAACACGGAGAAATCATACTAATGAGACTTTCCCCTCCATGATTCAGATAGCCAGCGAAGTCCAAATCAGCTTAATCATTGAAATTAAGCTTTGGGAATCACGATTTTTCCTCACAGCCACTGTCCGTTTTGTGATACACTGTTGAAATGAATGGATGTGGTGAAGGAGCCTTTTCTACTGAACGCTGTCGTTTTTCAGTGAATGAATAAAGTCAATTAAAGCAAACTAATGAGAAAAGGAGATGAGAAAGTATAATTTAGAATAGTTGAATTTTCACAATCATTTCAATGATAGAGAGCTAGAGAGCTAGAGAGATAGATAGATAGATAGATAGATAGATAGATAGATAGATAGATAGAGATAGATAGATAACGAGTTAGATAGATATGATTTATAGAAAGAGAGGGAAAGATATATATATATATATAGATTTAACACATATTGATACAATTATTAAACATAACACATGGCTCATACACGCGCAGACTCCTGGCTATTGACTCCGTGCACCTGTAGGTTAATGGGGTTGTTTTGAACTCTTGGAAAGTCTCTGAACATGTTGCACAATGCAGTAGCTGGATTTGACGATTCATAAATCAACAACAAGTGCAGCAGCAGTAGCAGCAGTAGTAGCAGCAGAAGTAGCAGCAGCAGGGGACTTACCGACTGCGCGCAAAGCAGCAGCGCGACACACGGCAGATGTAGCCGCGCCATGGAGCCCGGAGTCTGAGAAAGAAGCGCACTAAGGTCCGTGCACAAGGGAAGAAACAAAAGAAAACAACAAAACAAGGCTCAAAAAGGAGAATAAAAGTTTTGCGTCTTTATCCCAAAAACCACAAACCAGTGCGACGCGTCCAGAGCGTGCGTCAAAATATGAGCGGCAGAGAAGTGTCTGAGTCTCCACAGGGTCAACGTAAGAACTGCTGCCGTGCGGAGAGCTGAGGGCTCTAAATAAAAGAGAGAAGGAGGAGGGGCAAGGGAGGAGTAGGAGGAGGCTGTGCGCAAATGGGCCGCGCGTGCCACACACTGTTATCAAAGAAACGCGCCTCGTCCGCACTATGCACAAAAGAAAAGAACATGCAAATCCAACAGACTGCAGACTGATGGGGGGTAAAGAGTGAAGGAGATTTAAATTTAGAGCTGGGGCTCCTAACTTTCAAACCGCAAACAATTGAATCAAGTTTAATAGTTTTTTATATAAAGTAATATTCAAGATTGAATATGGTAATATTCAAGCTCACCTCAACTCCGGAATCAAACTGCCAGAGAGAGACCAGAGAGAGACCAGAGAGAGACTAGAGAGGCCAGAGAGAGACCAGAGAGAGACCAGAGAGAGAGAAACCAGAGAGAGACCAGAGAGAGACTAGAGAGGCCAGAGAGAGACCAGAGAGAGACCAGAGAGAGGCCAGAGAGTAAGACCAGAGAGAGGCCAGAGTGAGGCCAGAGAGTAAGACCATGCAGAGAGAGACCAGAGTGAGACCAGAGAGAGACCATGCAGGCCCAAAACATGAGTCTAATCCAATCCACAACAGCGCGTGGCACTAATACGCACGAGCGCATGTGGGAGGAGCCGCGTCAGCTTCATTTAAATCACTATTTGGACAAATGTCAGACTTATATTAGCTCATTATTGTTTTATACAAAACAGTTTCAGTCTTTACAAAGTTTGGGTCTGGTTGGACACGTGCTACAACCGTTTCTTTCTTTACTTTCAGATTCATATAACTCTAGTCATAAGGGACCAGAGAGAGGCCAGAGTGAGACCAGAGAGAGACCAGAGAGAGACCAGAGAGAGGCCAGAGAGAGGCCAGAGAGAGGCCAGAGCGAGGCCAGAGAGAGACCAGAGAGAGACCAAAGAGCGAGACCAGAGAGAGACCAAAGAGAGAGACCAGAGAGAGACTAGAGAGACCAGAGAGAAAGACCAGAGAGAGACCAGAGAGAGACTAGAGAGAGACCAGAGAGAGAGACTGAGGGAACCAGAGAGCGAGACTGAGAGAGCAGAGAGAGACCAGAGAGAGACCAAAAAGAGACCAGAGCGAGACCAGAGAGAGGTCAGAGAGAGTCTAGAAAGAGAGCAGAGAGAGAGACTAGAGAAAGACCAGAGAGAGACCAGACAGGTGCCAGAGAGAGGCCAGAGAGAGGCCAGAGAGAGACCAGAGAGAGACCAAAGAGATAGACCAGAGAGAGACCAGAGAGAGACCAAAGAGAGAGACCAGAGAGAGACCAGAGAGAGACTAGAGAGAGACTAGAGAGAGAAAGAGACCAGAGAGAGAGACTGAGAGAACCAGAGAGAGAGACCAGAGAGAGACCAAAGAGAGACCAGAGAGAGACCAGAGAGAGACCAAAGAGAGACCAGAGAGAGACCAGAGAGAGACCAGAGAGAGGTCAGAGAGAGAGACCAGAGAGAAACCAGAGAGAGACCAAAGAGAGAGACCAGAGAGAGACCAGAGAGAGGTCAGAGAGAGTCTAGAGAGAGAGAGCAGAGAGAGAGAGAGAGAGACCAGAGAGAGACCAGAGACAGACCCGAGAGAGGGACCAGAGAGAGACCAGAGAGACCATGTTTGGACATTTATGACTAAGTATCAGAAAGATAAAGGATAGAATTAAGACGTATATATATGACTTGAAGACGATGGCAAAGTCTGGGATCGCGTCTTTCATTCAGACAGAAGACATGTTTTATTGTCGATGGTAGAGACAGCACGATCAACACGAACACAGAATGCAAGTGTATTATACAGAGCGGAGGCATGGAGACCTCCTATCAGCAGCTGCCACAGTGCCATGTAGCTTGGCCTTCAGATAGACAAAACAAGGGAAAAGTACTGGCTTCTGCACATTGATAGAATGATGAGTTTAACTTTAACAAAAGTTGCTTAAAAGTGTTATGAAATCTCACATTCCCCCCTCTGGTCACACATTCACGTGTGACCATCAGGATCGATAAACAGCAACATAACATCATAACTCAATACTTAAACTCGGTACTTCACTCGGTACTTCAAAAAACTCAGAACTCAGAATACTTCAAAAACTCAGAAAACTCATAAAACATTTTCAGATCTTTCATAAAACTCGTCAACAATCTTCAGTAAAATACCAAACTTCATCAGTCGATGGTGGTTCCAGATATTGCTTTGAAAACAGTCTCTCCCACTTCTCCGTGTTGGTTTCTTCAGGCTGTATTTGTGTCGAGCCATGAATTCTTCTGTGACGTGTCTTTAAAATCACACGTTTCAGCTTTAGTGTCCAGAGTCAGCAATTCAATGCAGTCCAGATTATGGCCAAATTCAGAAATCCAATTGTTCCAAATCATGTCCAAATTGTGTAATCCAATTGTTCCAAATGATGTCCATCCAAAAGAGGACGATGGTATTGTCCATGTCTCAGCAGCTCAGCCTGAGTGGAATCAGGGGCTGTGCAGATAGTTCATGTGCTGGTCCAGATGCATGGTTTCTCTTGAGGTTTTTCAGTTTTGGCTTAAAAAAAAAAACACACCTCCAATCAGCAGCTGCCACAGTGCCAGCAGAGATAGTCAAAACAAGTTGTGGAAAAGCACAGGCTTCTACACATTGATAGAATGATGACTTTAACTTTAACAAAAGTTGCTTCAAAGTGTTATGAAATCTCACAGACTCATTGACCAAACGAAAAAGTTATCGCCTAAAATCCTAAACCTTGCACGTTTTGAGACCACGTTTCTTGGTTTGAAATGTGAAATGGTCAAGACAAAAATTAAAATATGTGTTGCTAATTGTCAGAAGCGATTTAAAACCAGTAATATTCAAATCCAGGTTAGAATCAGTTCTGTTTAGCTGCAGAAAACGGTCTCTCAGCTCATTTTAATGTGTATTATCTTGTGTTGTTAAAGCACACGTATGTACTGTGCTATACTAATAAACTGCCCTTGATTAATTATGTCTCTCTAAACGATGACACTTCCTTTTCTTTCTTCTTATCTTTCTTCTAAGCTTCCATTTGCAGATCCAATAAAAACAGTCCAAATATACTCTATTACAAATACATTTTAGTCAAATTCAATTCTAAAATGTACTTATTTTTGGTCACTTTTGCTGCGGTCTTGGTCCTTGCACTTACGTTGCAGCGGGAGGAGGGGGTAGGAGAAGGGAGGAGGAGGGAGGCTGCTGTGAGAGTGTGTGTGTGTGTGTGTGTGTGGGGGGGGGGGGGGGTGCACCTTTTGGTTAATGGTCGGGGGGATGGTGTTAATAAAGCCCTTTGGCACCGCGACAAAGTGCCAGGCGTCACCCGCTCACGCTCACACCTCCAGCCGCAGTAACAGGAGGGAGGGGGGAGGAAGGAGGCAGGGGGGAGAGGGGGGGCTCTGGAGGTGCGAACACGGTCCCACGAGTAATGCACATTTGTCCAAGAGGTGCAACGTTCTCAGACGGGGAAAATCTATCTCGCTATCTCTGTCTCTCTCTCTCTGGTCTCTCTCGGTCTCTGTCTATCTCGGTCTGTGTGTGTGTGTGTGTCTCTCTCTCTCTCTCTGTCGCTCTCTGTGTCTAGGTCTGTGTGTGTCTCTCTCTGTGTCTCTCTCTCTCTGTTCTCTGTCTCTCTCGGTCTATCTCTCTGTGTCTCTCTCTGTTCCCAGGCCAGCTGAGAGAGCCCCTCCAACGTACCCTGGGTCTCACCCTGGTCCCAAACATGCAGAGCCGCCTCAACTGGCTCCTCTCGGCATAAAGAAGCAGCGGCTCTACTCCGAGCTCCTCCCGTGTGACTGAGCTCCTCTCCCTCTCTCTAAGGGAGCGCGCAGTCACTCTTGTATCCACAATCTCGTCTTTTCGGTTTCCGTAAGCGCATGACCAGATGAGGGAGGAGACGTAGAGCAGCCGGTTATTTGAGAGCTTTGACTGCAGACGCTGCTCCCTCTTCACCACAACAGTCCGAAATAGCGACTGCATCACTGAACCTGGGCTATAGCTTAACATTTGAACCAATTATAAATATAAACATGTTTTATCAGCATTCAGACCATGGATGTATATTAATAACGTTTCAGACCTATACTGTAAATAGACTTTTGCCACTTATTGATAATGCAAAATATTTCTCCAAGACGTTAGTAAAGTGAAAAACAAATCCAAACGTCCAGGATTATGGCCACAAACGCATAATTTCTCGCTCCCCAAGTTACAGACCTAAACACAACACACATCCACATTATTACAGAGATTGTGGTTTTATTCTGAGGAAATATCTGGTTTTACTGCCAAGACAGAGACCAACATTGACCATGAAGGGTTAAAGTCAGACCCAGACCAGACCCAGACCTGGCCCTGACTTTCCTGTGATGAATATGAAAAGCTTATTTGTTTATATAGCACAGAGCAACAGATCCACTCGAGGAGAAACCCAAACCCATCGCAATCAAGTTTGTGGACTGAAAACACTGCAACACAGTCTGTGATTCTCATTCAGGCGGTGTTTGTTTTGGTTTAGTTTGGATTCAACAGAACTTTATTATTACTGGAAACAAGTCAGTGTCAGCAAAAAGAGAGACACAAGGAGAAGGAGATGTTAATGAACTATATAAAATACAATTCTATAGATACAGATATTGTGTCGGTTTTATACAGCGCTTTTCAGGACTCTCTCTGCGCACGGTTCTAATAAACTATTGCCGTAGCCACAACTGCCCTGGGGCACACTGACAGAAGCGAGGCAACCAGTCTGTGCCACTGCCATCAGCCCCTCCCACATCCACCAACCATTCACACACACACCAGACTCATTCTAATGTTGGGAAAGTGTCTTGCCTAAGGACACAACCACAGTTTGGCACTATACAGCTGCCCCACTGTGGCACCTGGAGTTCCCAGAGGTCTCCCATCACAGCACTAACCAGGCCCTGCCCTGCTTAGTTTCAGAGATCTGATGGGATCTGACTTTGGCCACAGATGTAAACAAGTATAGTTCACCTTCTCGTCTAGATTTATACTTGTACTTGTACTTTTTAAAGTTAATCTTTGGTTGTAGTTTTTGCCTAATTTCTTTCTTTAAACCTAAACTGTTTCCAAGTCCACGCATGCGCAGTACTCTATGCTCATATTACTTATAATATGTAAATACTCTAAGCCGCTTCTTCTTCTTCTTCTATTGTTGCGACAAATAGCGGCTATTGTTTGGCGCGCGTGGGGTTTGTGTGGGGAGGGGAGGGGCGAAGCGTGCCGTGGGGGAGGGAGGGGTGAGGAGGGGGGGGGGGGAGGCACGCGCTGCAGCATTACAATTACAAAAGAAGGAAGGCGCGATAGTGGCGGGAATGGACTTTAGGATCAATACACACAAGTCCAGGGCGCGTGCGGTTTGGTCCAGTCCTGGTTTCAGAGTCAGAATATCAGGATATCAGGGTAAATATCGTGGGATTCATTAGAACGCATTTGATCAGGGTCCAAACGGGCCAATGATACAACAGGAGACTAAAGCAGACCACAACGGACTAAAGCAGATTACAGCAGCTTGACGTTAGAATAAATTTGACATGGGTTGGATGTAAGACTGAGAAAGTGAATGGACCTGTAGGGGGCGACACTGAGACGCAGGAGTCAGTGAACTTTATAAGTGAGACTTTTTATTGATCTACAGAGAAATTACAAACACATCAAAAAAGTAGATACTAAAAACAATAAAAGAAGTCTTTGAAAGTAACATTTGCAACAAGAGAACAAAACCCTATCAGATTATATATAATACATATGGTTACGAGGGAAGACCATGGACAGAGGGAGCAGCGTCTGCAGTCAAAGCTCTCAATACCTTAGAGATGAGGAGCACAGTCACGAGGGAGGAGCTCGGAGGAGAACCGCTGCTCCTCCAGGTCTAGAGGAGCCAGTTTGGAGAGGGAGGAGAGAGAGACATCTGACAGAGCAGCGCCACGTGAGGGGGAGACATCAAAGCGGCGGCACACGCCACACCGCGTGCGCCTTTTGTCCCCGACACGCGCCCCCAGGAGGTGAGCTACCCCAAACGCGAGCGCTTTGTGCAGGTGTGAGGCGCGTGTGCAGCGGGGGAGAGGGGGGAGAGAAAGAGGAGGGGGGGTCGTGGGAACGGGACAGTGCGCGCGTGCAGGTGTGAGCGTCATTTGTCCGCGGTGCGAACAACAGGCGAGAGGCCGAGGCGTGAAGAGTGACACCTGAGAGCCGCGCATGCGCACACGGTGCGTATTTTGAGCACAGCTTGAGAAGTGATGGCATGAAGTTTGTATAGACCGATGAACTAAGCACAGCTTGCCACTTTACATCCACATTCCAGACTAATTTAAATCTGAAACTCAGAAGCATAGCTAACCACTTTAAACATGTATAATTGAACATAGAAGCACTGCTAATCACCTCAAACTTGTACTAATGGGAATGCTTAGCCACACATCCAACTTCAGTTATACAGGGTAAAGTATAACCCGTATAGTGGTTAGCCATGATTGTAACTTCATTAATGAACATGTGTAGCCATGCTTCTAAGTTTGTGGGTTAATGGGAAAGAAAGCAAAGGTCAATTTAAACAAACACATGCCTTTAAAAAGTGACGTTTAATAAAACTACATGAATAAATATATGTAAAGATACAATAAAACTCTGTATTCTTCTGAATCCTTTGGTTTCTTTGCAGATGTTAAAGTCATAAACTCAGGTTCACACCTCGACAGAACAACACGTCCTCATCAGAATCACGGCACAACATTTAATATCCACTTTATTCGTCTGGCACACATTTTCTGATCTGTTGTTGGTGAATCGACAATTTTGTCTCTGTCCTCAAAGATGAGTAAAGTTGTGATTCAGGACGATTGAAATGGAATGTTATGTTCTGTGCTACACAACATGAGTGTGTTACCGCTCTCTGTGCACATCCAGAGACTGAAAGTTTTGCCCATTCTTCTTCAGTAAATTCTTCCCAATAACTTCATAATGAACTTAGAAGCACAGATAACCACTTCAAACTCGCTTGATAAAACAGAAGCTTAGCTACCTACTTTACATCAACACGTTTTTTTATGTATGATTTATTTATAGATTTTCATAATAATTCCAACAGTTTACAAAGGAAGGTGTGTAGACAAGTACAATGCAAATGGTATCCTCAAAAAGTAAAGTGCACACCCAAGGCAGAGATATTTGTCACATGTAAAAAAGATAAAGATAAATAAACAACATACAACTCAAAAGATAACAAATATCCGAAATACTGTTGAGATATAACAAAAATAAATAAAACAAAATAAAATAAAATAAAGGGGGAGGGGGGGTGCTACTAAGTAATTATGAAATGTGTCAATCTGTCAACCACTTAGTTTCAACGGACTATTTAAGAAGATACCAGTCAAGGAGCCACATTCAATGTCAAAGACATAACATGGTCTAGAAAAGGAATCAATATTTTTGAAAATTCAGAGAGTGCCTTTGAGGGAGTGCCTAATTTTCTCCAGTTTCATGAATGAAAGAGCGTCCTTAATCCATAGAGAATGAGTTGATGGGTGAGGGTCCTTCCAATGCATCAAAATACAGCACCTAGCCAACAGTGTTAGAAAGGCCACAAGACGTTCACAGTAGGGTTGTAAGGTGTGGCCGGGAGGCAGTGTGTCAAAGAAGGCTGTCTTAACCGTCTTAACCTTAAAAACATGGCAAATCACTTAATACCTGCATGCATGAACTCAGAAGCATAGCTAACCACTTTAAACATATATAATTGAACTTAGAAGCACGGCTAATCACTTTAAACTTGTACTAATGGCCATGCTTAGCCATTTTTCAACAATACAGGTAACACAAGTGGTTAGCCATGCTTCTAACTTCATTAATAAAGATGTGTAGTGGATTTCTAATGGCACTGGACTGGAAGTTTTGCCCATTCTTCTTGAGTATATTCTTGCCAGTGTGATGCTAATAACTAAACATGAAGATATGCTTGTTGCTACAGAAATGTTTCTAAATCATCTTTTTCTTCCAAATCTTACTTTAACTTCTGTGATTTCGAATCCTTCAAACCAGAACCAATATTTATCTTTGCATTTCCCAGATTCTCCTCATTCTTGGTCTCGTCTGGTTTTAAAGTCGACAAAAAGGAGGAATCTCTGAAGAAGAAGAGGAGGAACCAAAAGGCCAAAGCAAGCGTCTGTTCCAAAATGTGTGTTATTGATGTCACACATGTTGCAGTCATTAAAGCTGCGGTACCTGACTTTGGGAACCTCAAAGGAATTCAAATAAACTGGAATAAAGTCAATGTCGGTTTCTATATCTGCTTTATGTGTGTTTTTGTAATTATTATTTATTTCTTTCAGACTCAAAATAAATGGGTCCGTGTTTTACAAATGTTGTACACACACACACGTTTAGCAGGAGGCCAGTCCCTGTGCTCCTCAGAGTCCCAGCAAGAGGCCAGTCCCTGTGATCCTCAGAGTCCCAGCAGGAGGCCAGTCCCTGTGCTCCTCAGAGTCCCAGCAGGAGGCCAGTCCCTGTGCTCCTCAGAGTCCCAGCAGGAGGCCAGTCCCTGTGCTCCTCAGAGTCCCAGCAGGAGGCCAGTCCCTGTGCTCCTCAGAGTCCCAGCAAGAGGCCAGTCCCTGTGATCCTCAGAGTCCCAGCAGGAGGCCAGTCCCTGTGCTCCTCAGAGTCCCAGCAGGAGGCCAGTCCCTGTGCTCCTCAGAGTCCCTGCTGGAGGTTGGAGACAGAACACTTTGCAGAAGAATAACTTAGTGCACTTTGATTGGGTTTCTGGCTTGGTTTACTAATCTGTGTTGGTGAATCGACAACTTTGTGAAGTCCTCGACGACTGCTGTGACAAAAATAAAATAGAATTGAAATTAAATTGGTTAATGAGAAAAGCAGTGAGACTTGGACTTTTTCTAAATGTGTTTTCAGAGCCACAGACAGATCAGTGTTATCTACACAAAGAGCAGAGAAGAGGATTAGCAACGCTGCTCTGGTTAGCAGCGATGCTAATCTGCCGTCACCATCAACCTCTTCAAAACTGACTTTAGAATCAGATACATTTAGTGTTTGATTCAAAATTAGAGTGAGAGAGACCAGAGAGAGAGAGACCAGAGAGGGACCAGAGAGAGAGACCAGAGAGAGCGAGAGACCAGAGAGAGATAGACCAGAGGCAGAGACCAGAGAGAGACAAGAGAGAGAGCCCAGAGAGAGACCAGAGAGAGGCAGAGACCAGAGAGAGACAAGAGAGAGAGCCCAGAGAGAGACCAGAGAGAGGCAGAGAACAGAGAGAAAGAGAGAGAGACCAGAGAGAGAGCTGAGTTCAACAGCTGAACTTCACAAACATCTGCAAACAGGTCGTAAAGTTTCTGCTGTGATTAAAAGTCACTTCTGTGGATCTGAAACCTTCAAACCGTCGGAGAAACACTTTCAAAGCCACAAGTCTCAGTTTAATTTGCTTTTATTTGCCATTTGTTCATATTGTGTCTATAGCAACACAACCACGACTGGAACCACATGAGATTGTGTGTCACAGTACGACAACTGAGAAGAGGGTTCATTTATAATTAAATCAGTGGTTTTAAGCCTTTTTAATAGAAAATATAATCAAAATGGTACCACACTCACTCTGGTCTCTCACTCTGGTCTCTCACTCTGGTCTCTCACTCTGGTCTCTCACTCTGGTCTCTCACTCTGGTCTCTCACTCTGGTCTCTCACTCTGGTCTCTATAGAGCTCTTATAATCCTCAAAGACTCTTCTGGCCCCCTTTTACCCTCTGGCAGAAGTCGATTGGTTTCACACTGACAATTGTTTCTGGTACTTTTAGCTAGTTTTTTTAATGTTCTTGTCTGCTGTATGTTTCCAATGTGGTTTTACTGCAAATACTACACATCTGAATCTGTAAGTTTAGTGAGTTTCGTCTTGAAGACAAAGAAATTCCACACTTTTGAGGACATTTTGGGTCAGTCGTGTTGAACCGTTTTCCGACCTTCTCCTGCTGTGACTCTGAGGAGCACAAGGACTGGCCTCCTGCTGGGCCCAGAGTCAGGAATAAACATGGGGAGGAAACAAATTGAGATTCATGCAGCTAAAATCATGAACAGTCTTCCTGAAAACGTGAGACAGGCTTCTATGACAATGATTAAATCCAGGTCATAAACAGTTCTGAAGGACTTTATCTTCTCTTTATAATGTTCTGTGATAATTATTTTGATGCATTTCTTGTTCTTCAGTTTTAATCACATACATTTGTTTACAGAGAGTTGTTGATGGAAAACCTTCCGGAGTCCAGGTGTCTCTCTGGCTCCAAATGTTTCCTGAAGTCTTTTGGCTTTTGCTTCAGCGTCTGATGCAAACAATTATAACACATGTGTCTTCACTCAGAACAACGTACAAGAAACAAGACTCTACGGCCCCGTTTCCACCTGCACTACTCGGCTCTACTCAGCCCTACACAGCTCTACTCACCCTGGTTGTGTTTCTATTATATGCTCTAGTCTCTGGTACCGTATCCTAGCAACTTACGAACCACAAACCAGTATCCAGGGACATTCCTTGGTAACCATGGCTGGTAGAGTAGGGTAGGGTAGGGTAGGCTAGGCTAGGGTAGAGCAAAGTAGGGTAGAATATAGGGCTGGGCGATATGGCTGAAAACTATATCACGATATAAGTCATTCATCTCGATCGATAACGATATATATTGAGTTTTTTTTTTTACCTAAATAAATATATTTGTTGTGTGGGCTAACCAACCTTAGCAGCCTTGTTTACAGTCACGGGGCGATGAGGCTGGAGGAATATGTTCACACTGTGTCCCTCGTTGTTAGTCCTGGTTTAATCCTGGTTTAGCTCCTGGTTTAGCTGTTTGAGGGTCTTGTGTCCCCGTGACCGCTCCGTGCGGCTCTCTGTGCCGCACATGCTTCCCGAGGAAAAAGTTAATCTCTTGCTTTCGCCGAATACAATCGGGTCTGTCCACTGCCTCTGCCGCCGCACATGTTATTCCGCGCACGTACGTGCATAACCATTGACACGGCATTGAAACACGAGCTATAGATCCATGGACGCCACGCATGCTGCGGTTGTTGTTGTTTTTGCATTTCCCACAAAGTTTTGCGGTTCCTGCTCGGCTGCTATTGGTCGAGAAGCCTCTGCCTACATCCCCCACAATGCCATGCGCTTATGAGTCGGCTTTACTTCCGGTGTTTTCTTCCTGTTTTTCTTGGCGGAGTTAAGTTAAACTATCGAACATTCTATCGACCCCATTCTCTATTGATATCGAACACACGTCTATCGCAATATATATCGTTATCGTTTTATCGCCCAGCCCTAGTAGAATAGAATACGGCAGGGAAGAGTAAAGTAGGGTGGAGTAGGGTAGGGGAGAGTACAGTGGGGTAGAGTAGAGTAGGGTAGGGTAGAGTAGGATAGATTACGATAGGGTAGGGTACGGTAGGGTAGAGCATGCATTATTATTATTAATATTTCCTCTGACTGCTGTTGTGATTTAGGGCTTTACACAAACACACAAAACACACAAACACACACCTAACAACTGTATCAGCTTTTAACACAAATAAGCTCGAGACAAAAGATAAAAGGATTTGAGTCGTGTTTTGGTTGGACGCCTTCACACACTTTTATTACACGAAGCAATAAATCCCGTCAACACTCACCCACTTAAACTTAGTCTTATATTTAGTCTTTAGAACGCGACGGATTCAGCTTTTCCAGTTCAAAACGCTGCCGTCGCCTTCGTTTCACTATTTCAGTACAAAAACAACTGTTCTTTTATCCAATCAGGACTCCAAGATGACCACCAGGGGAGGGTCTTGGTGGGACCCTGGCCTGAAGGCTCTGATTGGTCCACAGAGCAGCCAGTCTAAGTCTCCGCAGCCTCACATTGGCCGGCGCGACTGCTGATCTGCCCGGATACGTTTTTTTAGCGATCTCTGGCGGTGGGTGGATCACTGCTGTTTGGACCGCCAGAACCGGGACGTGATGGAGCCCAGGGACAGACCCGCCTTTTTCTGCTGCGAGATTTCGGCGAGACGCTGCTCCTCCTCCTGCGAACGAACAAAAAACAACGTCAAAAAGTAAGAATCTGCAAAAATGAGACGATCCGATAGTATTGTGATATTTTGGCCACAATTCGATTTTATTGCGATTCTTAAAATATCTCGATACACAGCCAGTATTGCAATTTGATTCTACGATTTATCACAGTTCAGTTCATTTTAGCATTTTAACACATACAACAACAAAGAAGAGGAATGTTTTTTTTAAAGCCACTGTGTAATTTTTAGTTTCTCCAAATGAAAAAACATGTTAAAATAAAAACAAATGTGACCTTTTTAAGAATATTTACCTACACCATGTTTTTGAATTGTTGTCATAAGTTTAGAATTGAATGTTAATGCCCCATCTTGAAATGCAGTGGCTGATAAGGGACAAAAAGGAGTTTGAGCGGGAGTTGGAGAGCACTGTTAAAGACGATATATTGTCCTACGAAGGTGAAGACGATGACAAAGTCTGGGATCGCGTCTTTAATTCAGACAGAAGACATGTTTTATTGTCGATGGTAGAGACAGCACAAACAAGCAAACAAACAAGGGATGTTAAAGACAGCAACTGGTAATATACTCAGGAGAAACAGAGACCTCCAAATCAGCAGCTGCCACAGTGCCAGCAGAGATAGTCAAAACAAGCAGAGGAAAAGTACTGGCTTCTGCACATTGGTAGAATGATGAGTTTAACTTTAACAAAAGTTGCTTCAAAGTGTTATGAAATCTCAGAGTTTTCCGTAGATTACAATATATGACTTCAATATTAGATGGGAGTAAAAACTACAGTGTACCTTTAAGTGCTATATAGAGCTCAAAGGGAGAAGGCAGAAGTAAAGAATACTCATGACATGTTCTAAGTCAGAGAAATATAGGCGTACATTTGAGAAGTACCTGAGTCGCGAGTACATAAATAGTCGAGAATACATAAATACATTTGAGACTATTACATAATGTTATATATTGCGATTCACGTCCCTCATATGAATCAAAGACATTACAAAAAGGAAGGAGCTAGTTACACGGCATTTTCGGATAAAGTTTAATTTTGTTGTGGTTTGAAAGTTAGGGACCCCAGCTTTAAATGTGCCCGTTTCCAGAATGTAGTAAAAAATAAAAGTCTGGAGAGTGTTTCTGACCTGAGCGAGTTGAGCTTGTCGCTGCTTGAAGGCCTCGATGGGGTCTTCCTCCAGGGCGTAGTTCTCCAGCACCGACCTCACGTCCTCCACTCCACTCAGAGCGATGGCTGCAGGCACAGAACATCACCGTTACAGGGTCCTCAAACAATATCTCGGTAACGATAAAAGTTCAAATCAATAGAATTCTGAGAAATTCTCGCAAAGTTTGTTTTCCACCGTTAAAAGTTTGTCATTTGAGGTTTTGTCCCTTTTAAAATGAGCAAAGACTGGTGAAAATAACTTTGTTGAAAGGCTAAATGCTAACTGCTAAAGACTAAATAACTGCTAAAGGCTATATCCTAACAGCTAAATGCTAACTGCTAAAGGCTAAATAACTGCTAAATTCTAACTGCTAAAGGCTAAATAACTGCTAAAGGCTAAATAACTGCTAAATTCTAACTGCTAAAGGCTAAATTACAGCTAAATTCTTACTGCTAAAGGCTAAATTACTGCTAAATTCTAACTGCTAAAGGCTATATCCTAACTGCTAAATTCTAACTGGTAAAGGCTAAATAACTGCTAAATTCTAACTGCTAAAGGCTAAATTCTAACTGGTAAAGGCTAAATAACAGCTAAATTCTAACTGCTAAAGGCTAAATTACTGCTAAATACTAACTGCTAAAGGCTAAATAACTGCTAAATTCTAACTGCTAAAGGCTAAATTACTGCTAAATTCTAACAGCTAAACGCTAAATAACTGCTAAATTCTAGCTGCTAAAGGCTAAATGCTAACTGCTAACTGCTATAGGCAAAACTGCTAACTGTGGCATGCAAACAGTATGTTGCTAACACTGGAAAACCAGGCTGAACCAGGACAGGTCTAGAACCTGCCATAGAAAGTTGGTTGCCAAATTACCAAAAAAGGCTCTATTTGAATTTTACATTTTACATACGTTCAATGACATAGAAAAAAAACTATATTTATCTAAAATGTATACAAACTAAACATACAGAAACAGAAAAAGTCACCAAAGTTATAAAGACCATAAATGTACAAGGTGTCAAATTGACTGCTGTGGGAGTTCCAGTGTAACCGCGGGCGAGGTCAGACCAGAGGGGGGCGTGTCTTACTCTTGAGGAAGTTGGCGAGGTCGTAGAGCGTGCGGTCGTCCGAGTTGCCGTCCCACTTCTTCAGGGCCATGCCGTTGAAAGGCTGCAGACTGAAGGCCTCGCGTTTACAGTCCACCACGATCACTTTACTGGTGTCGCGGTTCAGGCACGACACGTCCTGAGAAACACAATAACCACAAACTCAGTTTATTTAGAGTAACACAACAACTTAAGAGACTAAATATTATGCATTTAATAATAATAATAATGCATTGGTTATATACAGAACTTTTCAGGACACTCTTTAACTCATTCACTGCCCATGACGACAAAACTCGTCATGTTGAATAGTAACGCTCACTGCCCATGACGAGTTTGACGAGTTTTTCATGTTATTACACGGGAGGCTACAGTAATGTCTGGCGCACCTTGTGAATGACCCACAATACTGATATATAGTGCAAATGTACCTGTAATGATAAATCACCACCAGTAGGATGCAGTATTGCACCACAGGGCGGCACGGTGGCTGAGTGGATAGCACTCTCGCCTCTCAGCAAGAAGGTTCTGGGTTCGAATCCCGGTCGGACCAGGGCCTTTCTGAGTGGAGTTTGCATGTTCTCCCCGTGTCTGCGTAGGTTTCCTCCGGGTACTCCGGTTTCCCCTACCACTAAAAATATGTCCAATAGTTCTAGCATGTGCCTCCTGTACTGGCGACCCCGCTCCCATCTCTGTGTGGAGTGAGAGACAAATGCCCAAAATTAACAATTGTAAACCGCTTTGAGACTCAGATCTGCAGTGAAAAGGCGGTATATAAATAAAGATTACTACTACTACTTACTACTTACAGGAGAGGTCATAAGTCAGTGGAGAGAAGGAGGAGGAGTGTGGGAGTGTTTGGAGAGCGTGCTGCTGTAGCAGAGCGAGCGATGATAGCGTAGCATTGAGACGGATAGCATAGTTTAGCGATAGTATAGCAAGAGTGATGGCGAAAAAGAATAGTTATAAGCAGTGTACACTGCTTCAGAGATTGACTCGCGGATCAGTGAGTGAGGTCGAGAGGGGAGAGAGTGGAGACCCCGGTGGAGGTCCGTCTCTGCAGCCCAGAGCCCGGAGCAGGGACACACCTTCCGCCTCTCGCAGCGTATCAGCTGCTGCTGTTACTGATGCCTCGGATTCGTTCAGCAAACCTGATCATGATTTATCGGATGAGTGGTTGCAGTCTCAAACCAGCAGAGCATCCTCTCCAGAAGCTCCACAAAGAGTCGAAGGTAAGAACTTGCTAAATTGCCAAGAATATGCAAACTTGAGAGGAGGGAAAGGCGCAGAAACTTGCTCTGATCTGCTAAGTAACACAGCGCTCAAATCCTACTGTTTCTTTAGTAAATGCCAGTTATGCGTTTTATCATTGTTGTATTTATTATTTTTATGTTTAGTTATTTCATACTTGAACATCTTGTTGCAGTGACATAGCTCTGACTAAATGAAATGTGTTCTTCATTCACAGATTCTGATAAAAGAGCCCTCCCCCATTGGGGTTGACAGAGCATGGAGGTAAAGATAATGCCTCCTCATACCATTGTACATATTATTGTATATATTCTCCTGGTATAGTGATTTACAAATTTATATTATTTACAGGTGGGGCATCAAGAGGCAGTTGCTGTGCACAAAAAAGGTAAAAACTATTTCTATTCTTGTACATCCCATGGCAATATAATATAATAATAATATAGTATACTTGTTTCGTCCAAAAGCAGTCAGTCAATAATGTGGGAGGAAGGCCTTCATTGTATTTTATGTATTGATTTATTGTAACAAATTCACTGTATAATATAGTTATTGTGTGTATCCATTTTCCAGCACGTTCGTCACCCAGAAGCTCTGGGGAAGATGGCTGACAGGAGGATCAGTGGGAGCCGAGTCAGTTGCCCTTCACAGGAGCTCCTGGACCTCAGAGGCTGCGGACAGAGGCTGCGAAGCTGGATTCATCTGATCCAGCTGACTTTCTGGAGCTGGATTCATCTGATCCAGACTTTCTGGAGCTGGATTCATCTGATCCAGACTTTCTGGAGCTGGATTCATCTGATCCAGACTTTCTGGAGCTGGATTCATCTGATCCAGACTTTCTGGAGCTGGATTCATCTGATCCAGACTTTCTGGAGCTGGATTCATCTGATCCAGACTTTCTGGAGCTGGATTCATCTGATCCAGACTTTCTGGAGCTCTTCTTCACGGAGGGCGAACTACAAATGGTACACAGCGTGTCGTGTTCCGTTGCACACAGTGTTTCAACCTCTACAACTCAAAGCTGAACTACTGGGAGGACTGAAAAAGCAGATAAACTCACTCATACACACACACACGAACACACACACGCACTCACTCACGCGCACACAAGACACACACGCACTCACTCGCACACTGACATTCACACACACACACACTCAAATTCACACGCGTCATTCTATTTTATACATCTATAGTTTTATTGATCTTTGTGTTGTTGTTGTTTGACGTTTTGGTTGATGGTATAGAAGAAAGTTAAATTTTCTATCTGTGAATAAATTGCCAACAATTTGCCATCAAAAGTATTATTTCAGAGTCATGTTTTTATAATTTTTGTAATAGAACAAGTGTGAAGATGTTTTGAGTTGTCACTGAAGCAGCAAAAATGCATCTAAAGTCTCTTTTCTGCTTGATATGTTCCTGTTTACATACAGCTTGTTTTCTCTGTTTTCTTGCTCAGACCAGGTGTTGTGGGTGAAAGTATGCTTTGTTCTATGGCGAATAGCTCAAGAACGGTAAGAGGTAGAAACAAACTGTTTTTTTCAGAGTAAAGCAGAGAGGTTAATCTTTAATTTGGTGCCCTTGATGTTTACATTGTCTAAAAAATGAATATTCTGTGGCACTTCAAAGTTGGGTCAAATCACCTGAAATTGCTGGCAGAACGCACTTCTCAAATCTGAAAATGCCTGGCAGTCAGTGAGTTAAGAATACTCTCTGTATTCTTTCTTCACGTGGTGATAAACTACTACAGTAGCCACAGCTGCCCTGGGGCACACCGACAGAAGCGAGGCAACCAGTATGTGCCATCGGCCCCTCCCACCACCAACCATTCACACACACACCAGACTCATTCTAATGTGGGGGAAGTGTCAAATCTCTCAGGTTCTCTGTATTCTTTCATCCGATCACAATCTGACTGTGTTAAAACCAAATTCTCAAATGGGACAAAGCCATTTAGTCTTATCAAGAACTGTTGCTTTATTTTCTCATTCCAAAAGAGACATTTCTGTATCTTTTTATACAAGATAATTTTGCACATTGTCCCGTTGGTAAATTTTGTTTTAATCCGCTCAAATCAAGAAATGTTGTCAAATTTGAGCACTTTTTGCAATATTTTTCCTAACTTTTCGCGGCTATAGTGTAAAGTTATACATCTAGGGCTGGAGTAGATCACTCTGGGGTCTGAGGTCTGGGGTCTGAGGCTCGAGCCCAGGGCCTGCCTCAGTCTGAGTGCGTGGCCTGCATTTGGTCCGGATCAGACATCTTAAGTTTCCTCCACGGAGCAAAGACAACAGCGGGATTATCCCCAGAACCTGCTGTTAACCGCATCAACAAGTGAGACTTTCTCCACAATAAATATTTAAATGATCGAACGAGTCAGAAAGAGATTGAGGTCCAGTAGAAGCCGGGTTAGTATAAGTCCTGGATTTAGTTCTGGGTGAGTTGTGAGAGTCCAGGATCTAAGCAGAAAGTACCACAACAGTTATAATTATAGCTACATCAGGACTGAAGACTACTACTTTTTCAACTTCTTTGACTCTGCGGCTTATACAGCGATGCGGCTAATATGAGCAGAGTCTATGGACTTATCTCTCTACTCGCTCTCTCTCTCTCTGGCCTCGCTCTCTGGCCCCTCACTCAGCCTCTCTCTCTCTCTGGTCTCCCCAACAGTAGCCACCTTGGAAGACTTTACCAAACCAAAACACTTCTTGACACTCTCCAGTCATAACTCTGTCACTTACAAAATCAAACACCCTCCGGCACAAGTTTCCGGAGCCGCAATACCAACTTCCCTATAATCCACTTGTTTACGTCCTCTTTGTTGCACCACATTCATTAATTCACGTTGGACATAATACGACACATAAGCAACAGATTAAGTACTTTTCAACGCGGGCTGCAAAAGCACACAGCAGTTTGTTCATTCTAAAAAACCCCAGTTTGTTTTCCCCTAAAAGGAGGAGGAGTCTCACTTTCTCTGCACATATGGAGCCCTCTCCCCCCAAACATATGGGCTCGCGTCTGGATCTTGAAGCTGGGAAGTAGGTTAACCATCGGTAGCCCCCCTCTCGCTTATCTCTTAAATACGTGTGCAGAGTGAGGTGATTGGCAGCAGGGACCCGGAGAAAGGGGCGGGTTTTGGTAATGATGGCGACCAATCAATGAAGCAGAAGGCAGGCTCGGCAGGGTGCCACTCTGCTCTTTTGGGATCAGCTAAAACTTCTACTTGGATCCATAAAAAACCTCCTGGAACTACATTTGTGCTTTAGGTTTGTGACTTCCTCTTACTCACATGGCAATAAAAAGGATTCCAATTCTAAATAGTTTGTAAACCAACAGTCGTAGTAATCTTCCCAACATCTTGAATATTTTATCTTTCCACATTTAAGAGTTGGGGTATGACTTTCAGATGACATGTGGCACTAGAAATGTCAGATTTTATGGCTACCCTCAGTGGGAAGAATAAAGAATCTTTTAATCTTAATCCAACTACCATTTAACACGGACAATGTTACAAAAGGGTTTTCTCTCCCTGTCGTGCACCCAGTCTCTCGTCTTGTCTCGTTGAAAATCTGCCTCCTGTTCTTTTTAGGACTGGGATTTTTGCAGCTAAAATATGAAACAGTCTTCCTGCAAATGTGAGACAGGCTTCTACTCTGACAATGTTCAAATAGTACATTTGGGTCAGATGCATATTTTTTTAGCACAGATTTCCCCAGCTGAGATACTGTATATAGTCCCTCCAACATGTCCTGGGTCTTCCCCTGGTCTCCTCCTGATCCGACATGTCTGGAACACCTCCCCAGAGTAGTGTCCAGGAGGCATCCCAAACATCTGCCAGGCTCCTCTCAACGTGGAGAAGCAGCGGCTCTACTCTGAGCTCCTCCCCGTACCTCTAATGGTGCGTTCAGACCAAAAGCTTCAAAAAGCTTTTGACGCGCGTCATCTGACGCCGTGTCATTTTTGTCATTTTGGTGCTTGAAGCTCTTGACGCGAGTGACGCCGGTGGGAGGAGCTTCTCTGTTGCCTGTAGTCAACGGTGGATTGTCCAGAGAGCAGCGAACTTTTATTTGTTATAGAAAGCCAAATAACGTTGTCGTGGGTTCCCCACCTCTCGCTCTCGCCTCTCCCCACCTCTCGCTCTCGCCACTCCCCACCTCTCGCTCTCGCCTCTCCCCACCTCTCGCTCTCGCCTCTCCCCACCTCTCGCTCTCGCCTCTCCCCACCTCTCGCTCTCGCCTCTCCCCACCTCTCGCTCTCGCCTCTCCCCACCTCTCGCTCTCGCCTCTCCCCACCTCTCGCTCTCGCCTCTCCCCACCTCTCGCTCTCGCCACTCCCCACCTCTCGCTCTCGCCTCTCCCCACCTCTCGCTCTCGCCACTCCCCACCTCTCGCTCTCGCCTCTCCCCACCTCTCGCTCTCGCCTCTCCCCACCTCTCGCTCTCGCCTCTCCCCACCTCTCGCTCTCGCCTCTCCCCACCTCTCGCTCTCGCCTCTCCCCACCTCTCGCTCTCCCCACCTCTCCCTCGCCTCTCACCTCTCGCTCTCGCCTCTCCCCACCTCTCGCTCTCGCCTCTCCCCACCTCTCGCTCTCGCCTCTCCCCACCTCTCGCTCTCGCCTCTCCCCACCTCTCGCTCGCCTCTCCCCACCTCTCTCTCCCCGCTCCCCGCCTGGAGCTGCCTCGCTCTCGCCCTGAGCCAAACTCATTGTCAGCTTGTTCTTATATTAAATAAATTACTTTTTCTACACAGCATGTGTACAATGGTTTTGTTACTCACTTATTAAGAACGTTACTACTCATACAAATAATATTACTAACGACATTAATGACAATAAAACAGCAGCAGCAGTAGTAGTTACATGACTTCTCTCCATGACAAAGACAGACCCGCAGCTGCTGCTCCTCGTCTCCTGATTGGTTGAAGCCCGCGTCAAAGCTCCAAAAGCTCAGCTTTGCTCAGCTTCGGCGTCAAGGGATTTTTTGACGCGGAAAGAGCCGCGAGCGATTCACGCGTCAAAAGCTTCAAGTGTCGCGCGTATTACTCGCGACTTTTGAGGCTTTTGACGCGCTTCACCATTCACTTTCAATGTAAACCTGACGCTTTTGACGCCGAAGTTAAGTCCGGTCTGAACGCGCCATAAGAGAGCGCCCAGCTGCCACGCATTAGAGGAAGCTCATGTGGGCCGCTTGTGTGAGCAGGACAGGTCACAGCAGCAGAGGTGGAGTAGCCTCCGGGTGGAGCAGGAAGGTCACAGCAGCAGAGGTGGAGTAGCCTCTTGGTTCAGACCATTTTCTCTTCTCTAGTCCAAAGTGAAATGCTAAGTGCTTCATTAGAATTTTACAAAAAGTTAGCATTCCTCCAGTGGATTTTCATCTGATCCACTTGGTTCAGACCATGAATCCTCTCTGCTCTGGTTTGGACCAGTGTAAAACAATGAATCCTCTCTGCTCTGGTCTGGACCAGTGTGACCAACTGGAGCAACATCTTGGGTAGAATAAAGCAAGAAAAATAAAATGTATAAAGCACAAAACTGTTTCAGAGACACTTAGGACCTGCAGCCGTTTCCCAGTGCGTTCTATGAGTATGTTGGTGTACAACATGCGTAGTACCTTGACATGGTGTCCTTCCATGTAGTGAGTGGCGTCTCTGAAAAGACGATACATGACAAAGCCTTGAGGGTCGATGCTGTCGATCAGAGGATACGCCGTCTACGGGAAAAGGTCACGTCGATCAAGGCAAGCCGAGGTTATTTGATAAGTCCAGTCTGAGCTCTCACCATTCCGGTCTCTGCAGTGAAAATGACAATTTCGTAAAGTGGCGCGAGCTGCTGGAACAGGTAATCGATTCCCGGACGCTTCTTAAACCTCCATCCCGTTGCCAGCTGAGGACGAGAGCAGAGTCAACCACAGCAAACACAATTCCAGATCCAAGATTATGGCGGTTGTGTGTACTTGTGTCTTTGTGTTTATGTGTGTATGTGTATACAGTGCCTTGCGAAAGTATTCGGCACCCTTGAACCTTTCAACATTTCGTCACATTTTAGGCTTCAAACATAGATATAGAAATAATTTTTTTTGTCAAGAATTAACATTAAGTGGGACACAATCGTGAAGTGGAACGACATTTATTGGATAATTTAAACTTTTTTAACAAATAAACTGAAAAGTGGGGCGTGCAATATTATTCGGCCCCCTTGCACTAATACTTTGTAGCGCCACCTTTTGCTGCTATTACAGCTGCAAGTCGCTTGGGGTATGACTATCAGTTTTGCACATCGAGAGACTGGAATTCTTGCCCATTCTTCCTTGCAAAACAGCTCGAGCTCAGTGAGGTTGGATGGAGAGCGTTTGTGAACAGCAGTCTTCAGCTCTTTCCACAGATTCTCGATTGGATTCAGGTCTGGACTTTGACTTGGCCATTCTAACACCTGGATACGTCTATTTGTGAACCATTCCATTGTAGATTTGGCTTTATGTTTTGGATCATTGTCCTGTTGGAAGATAAACCTCCGTCCCAGTCTCAGGTCTTCTCTCAGGGGGGAGAGAAGTTTGGAGAGGGGAGAGAGGAGATGAGAGTTTGGAGAGGGAAAGGAGTGAGTTTGGAGAGAGGTGAGAGTTGAGAGGGGAGAGAGGAGAGAATTTGGAGAGGGAGAAGAGAGAGGAGAGAGTTTGGAGAGGGGAGAAGAGAGAGGAGAGAGTTTGGAGAGGGGAAAAGAGAGGGGAAAAGAGAGAGGAGAGAGTTTGGAGAGAGGAGAGAGTTTGGAGAGGGGAGAAGAGAGAGGAGAGAGTTTGGAGAGAGATACAGGGGAAGAGAAGATTGAAAAGATAAGGCTCTTCATGGTACAAATGCAAAAGGTTTTCTGGAAAACTTAGACGTTATTGATCCACAGGGAAATTGCGGATCATAAAGTTGTCACAGTGGCTAGCATAGTATTTCACAATAAAAAATTATAATAAAATTAAAGTTACAATCTGAATAAAATAATAAGATAATTGTGAGAAAAACTTAATATACAATATATAGAGGACAAAGCAGATAAACGTGAAGTCTGTTTAGATGTTGGGGCCTTTATAACTGACAATTTGACTCTCTTTCTCATGTTATTGATCTAAAATTTACTAAATTATAGTCATTTCCCACTACAGCGTTTACAGTTTTAGATTCAAATTTCCAGAATAATGTGAAAAACAATTGAACCAGATACAAGTTTCTGTTCACGCAACAGTTAAAGCTTTTGTATCGTCTTTTAACTAAATCTAATCAATCAATAATACATTCTTTGTTATCAGGGCTGGTACTACCTTTACCAACAACTCATTCAAAGTCGCCTGAACTTTTGGCTTGGGCCCCTGTCTCTCAATACCAGCCCCATTATCCAGCTGCCTTTGCCAAATTTATTATTCAGGCCTTTTTGGAAAGCGAAAAAGGCCTGAATAAAATGGGCAAGGCTGGACAAAGGCAGCGAGGAGAGCGAGCAGAGGTTGTGAGGGGCGTGGCCACCACCTGTCGGCTCCAACCACAGGTAACAGGAGCCAGGACCGGTCACAAAACACACCTTTATTCTGTCACTTCAGTTTCAAAGAATCGAGGTTAAAAAAAGAGTAATCGTATTTCAAATGTGGTTATTGTTATTGCCAGGATATAAAGCTGCGGTGCGCAACTATCAAAAGCACAGGAAATGAAGCAATGCCTCCGGCCTCTCCCCCTCCGGCCTCTCCCCCTCCGGCCTCTCCCCCTCCGGCCTCTCCCCCTCCGGCCTCTCCCCCTCCGGCCTCTCCCCCTCCGGCCTCTCCCCCTCCGGCCTCTCCCCCTCCGGCCTCTCCCCCTCCGGCCTCTCCCCCTCCGGCCTCTCCCCCTCCGGCCTCTCCCCCTCAGGTGAGTGTTTTCCGTACCGACCACTCCGGATGCAGCAGTACATCTGTGAGTTCCAGGACGAGGGTGTAGGGAGGTTGGTAGTACGGTTCCCTCAGAGGGTCTGGGAGAAGCTTCGGGCTCGTGGGCTCGATGATCATCTACAGCAGAGAGAGCACACATGTAGACATTTTCGGAAGATTTGCAACCAACATTCTATGGCAATTAAAGCCTCTTTTCTCACGAAGCTGGTCTCTCTCTGGGTAAACTACATTACCCAGACATCACTGCTTCTCACCTGTATGTAGTCCAGGAAGTATTTAAACTGGAATAAACTACATTACCCAGACATCACTGCTCCTCACCTGTCTGTAGTCCTGGAAGTATTTCGCCGTCCGCTTCAGCTGCTGAATGACTGGAGGCTCTAAAACAAAAACAAAACAGAAAAAAACACATCATTTTTAATAGTTTTATTGCTTTTCTGGTTCAAAGCCGCACAAAAAATGAACAAATCCTCGGTGGCTAAAGTGAGAGTGACAGTATCACAATGTGATAGTGAAAGGCAATACAGTGCTAAAGCTGATGGACGCAACTATACAATACATTATTGTAACAGTATTGGAGTTGGAAGTGCAATTACCCCATGTGATTATTATTATGAAAAATCTGATAACTGATATGTGATAGTTCTGCCTTTAACTTCCATAGCAGTCATATATTTGTTGGAATATAATGACTTTCTCTCCAAGGTACTGGACTGGGGGAGAGGGAGAAAGAGAGAGAGAGAGAGACCAGAGAGAGAGAAGAGACCAGAGAGAGAGACCAGAGAGAGGAGACCAGAGAGAAAGACCAGAGAGCATTTCCTTTAAATAAGGCAACATTTTATCTGTAGAATGGGAGCCGTTCTCGGAGCCTGTTTCAAACCAACCCTTCCCCTCGTATTACAGTCTGTAAAAAAAGCAAACACAGCGCCGTAAACAAGACGGACGCGGTGCTGATGGCGAGACAAATGAGGAACCTGGAAAACAAGCGCCCAGCTGTCAGCGCCTAATGCCTCATCATAATAGAGACTTCATTTCCCAGGGGGCCGTGGGGCTCATTACAGCGAACGGCCCGTACAATAGCGACATAGAGAGCAGTGCGCGTGCTTCTCTATCTGGGGCCATTTCTGAACACACGCCGTCCGCTCCCTCGGGACTCAATCCCCCAGAGTTCAGTGCAGCGTGTGGAACCAGGAAGCGCCGCCATCTGCCACAGTCATGTGACTAAACATGTACTAAACAGTATGGAGTATTTTCAAAAAGGGGAAAGTAACTAGCACTGTAAAATTCATGCATTTTAAGCTAAGCAATTAATGAATATATTAAGTTACATTAGGGTTAGGGCATTTGTTGGGCTAGCAAGTCGGTGTAGCTAACATTTGGGAATATTTAGTATGAATTAGAGAGTGGATGGATGTGTTTTTGTAGAATCTGAAGTCATCACTGTTGTGCAGAGATCAGAAAGAGACCAGAAAGTTTTCCTGAACTTCTCTCCATAAAAAGTTATATTAGATTGTATCTGAGGGAGCGGGGGCCGTGCGGTGATGCAGAAGAATCCGGAAAAGGCTCAAAGTGGAGAGGGGGGGTGAACGGGGGGGGGTCTTTCTAATGCAAATGTGGGTGAGGCAACGGGGTCCGGGGCCACTACTGATCAACAGGAACCCGCCAATAAATGAGAGCACCATTGATCTATTTCACCCTTTCTTTTGGCGCCTAAATTCACTGAGCCTCAAATAGGTTGGTTTCACCTTAGAGAGAGACTAGACTGAGAGAGACCATAGAGAGAGAGAACCTAGAGAGAGAGAGAGACCAGAAACAGAGCGAGACTGGCAAAAGACCACAGAGAAAGGGAGACCAGAGAGAGAGAAAGCGAGAGAGAGACTATAGAGAGACCAACCAGAAAGAGGGGGAGACCGGTGAGAGACTGTTAAGCCTAGTTTATACTCGCGCGGAGCTTACGGAGGTGACGTGACGTCACTTGCGCAACGCGTTGGTCACCGCAAGGCCCTTACGTTGCCTGTCCTTCAGCATCGAAATTTTCTAACTACGTAAGGGTCGCCGCAAGGAATCTCCGCTGTGATTGGTCCGTGTGTGTATTGGAAGGAAGCATGAAGCGGCTGCAGCAGGGACATGGACGAGGCATTATGGAGCAGAGAGCTTTGTGCTTCGAAGGAAAAGCAGTTTGGGCTCAGAGCCTGATATACAGGAGACTGTGGACTATCTAACATATATATCTAACTTATATCTAACATATATATCTAACTTATATCTAACATATATATAACTTATAAACTGTGCAGTTGTTTGTTTTGCACTGTTCCTGTCTTTGTTTGAATCGTAGCTGCGTTTGTTGCTTTCCTCCTGCACTCGTAAATCGTTCATGTTTGTCTCAGATATTTACCACTATTATTGTTTTGCTGTTTGTGCTGAAAAATATTTAATAATAACTATGTTTCCAACAAGAACTGTGTCTTTATTCACAGCATCACAGTTGAAATGACTTATAAAATAATGAATCCATAAAACTATCACATAAACCTGCAGTAGAAACACGTGTAATGAGCTCAAACAGCTTTGTTTGCTATTGTTGTTCTGAAGAGGACGAAGTAGCAGCGTAAATGGGACCGCTCCTGTGTGATCGCCCTCATGTGGTTTGTTGTGGGATTACAACATTCTCCTCAAAACTCCGGAAGGGGAACGCGCCAGTATAACATCAATTGTGCTTACGTAGGTCCACCGCAACCGCTAACGTAAGCCATGCCGCGCAAGTATACTCTAGGCTTTAGTATTAGATAGCAATATGGCCTACGTGCAGGACTGTACAAGGACTCTGATGATGACTCCATATTTTGACTATGATATGACTGTCTCTGTGTGACACGTATGTCTTTCGATGTGTGACGTGACAATGACTATATAAACTGTGTACTGACTCCATTTTGTCTGGGAGAAAGAAACAATTGAAACCACTGGAACTTGAGAGAAACTTAAAGGAGACATATCATGAAAAATCCACTTTTTGTGCCTTAAATGCCTTATGTTGTGAAGTTGGAGCCTCTAGAAGTGCAAAAAAGCTGAAATCAGTCTCTTCATGGGTTGCAGAGAACACTTCATATTCTGTTTAGGTAAGATTTTTCAACCCGTTCTGATTTTGCCATTCTCTATTACGTGTTTAGAATTATTACGTCACAGTATTTGCAGCGAGACTGCTATATAAAGGGCATGGGCGTCTAACAAAACACTTCGGCCCAGCCCTCCTCTACTGTGCATCACTTCAAATTTGTAGTCCAAGCTCAAGGATGCCAGTGCACAGGGCTGGACTGGCCATCGGGCGTACCGGGCAATGCCCAAAGGGCCGATGCCCATATTTGGGCCGGTCTGTCTGCCTCATACAAAACACATGTTTGTGAGAAGTGTAAATCCGTTGAGAATTGTTTGAGCGGGGCGCGCGTATCCGCGGGGCACCTGCTGTATGTACTTGAACGGAATTCCGCCACCTCAGCGGCCACAGTGTTCCGGGGCATCTGCGGCCGCTTTGTAATGAGCAGCTTCCGCGTCCAGCGGCTGCGAGAGGCTGTGAGCGTCCAGCCGCTCGCAGCCGCTCCACCGTGTTGTGGCTGAGCGCGCAGCCTCAACGTGACCATGTACCCAACCCCATAAACGCGCACAGGACCATGCGTGTCTTTGAGTAATCTGTGCACCCAATAAATACACTGCTGCAGGAAACAGTCCACGTCTCCCCTCTCCTCTCGAAGCGCGATTAAACGCCCTAAATAAAGCTCTGATACCTACATTTTATATTGCATTAAAAGTTCATGTTTGAGCCCAAAAGTAATATGTTGTGAACAAATTAAACAGATTTAGAGCCAGCAAATGGCTGACAATATGCATTTCAGTCTTTTTTGACCAATTCTCATCCCTGTAACAAACAATAGTGTTGTCTGTGTCCACCTCCCTCATTCTGAGACATGTTTATTACTCTCTTGTAATGTAGACTATTGCATTTTATTTTATTGTTGAAACTGCACATATCCTGATCCTCTACAGTTTTTGCTTCCACATACTGTATAAACTAGGAGTCGGCAACCTGCGGCTCCGGAGGCGCATGCGTCTTTTTCCTTCTGTAGAAGGAAAAACGTTCTTAACGTTTTTAAATGCTGTAAAATTTTGCATAAGTAATATGCAATTTAAACATTTCTGTCAACGTAGTGCGTCATATCCTGCGACGTAGGCACGCGCCAGGCGGCCGCTGTTGTAAACAAACCGGCGTGTGAGCATCATAGACTGTGCGCATGGATCCCAAAGCTAAAAAGAGAAATCGAGAAGAGTCGATAATAAGACTGGACTAAGAATGAAAATTAACATTTGCTTTCAGTCAATGAGGAAGGCTTGCTTCATGTTTGCGTTGTAATGAGAAGTTTCTATGAGATAATTGTGTCTGTGCTTAGAAACTCCAAAAATGGCCGCTCGGGGTGGAGTTGAACCTGTGTCACCTGAATGGGGGGGGGTGGTCAAAAGCATCTCATTTGCATTTAAAGAGACAGCACCAAAACAGGTTGCTCTCAGACGCACCTCAGAACAGGTGTAGAAGAAAGGCCCGTGGAGCTACAAATAATGAGACTCAGACCCAGGCATTGCAGTTATGCTTTATATAGGCCACAAATTAATGATTTAGATGTAAAAATCAGTTATTTGAAAACACGATATGTCCACTTTAAATAAACTTCCAGAGTTTGGCGCACCACGATCCGTCTGCTTCATTCCTGACAGATTTGGTGGAGGATGCGCAGCTCGGTGTGCGCCATTCTCTGGATTGTTTTGAGGGAGTTTCCTTTGTTTTCTTTTTCTCGGCGTGGGAGAGCTGAGAGCATCTGGAGTTGGGTGCTATCCAGCAGGCTGGAGAGGGAACGATTTCGGGGCTTTTTTTCTCTCTCAATATTTTTTTTGGCCTCTTTTTTGGACTGACTAAGCGTTTAAATTTGTTTTCCCATGTCCACATTCCGGGGATTTCTGACGTACGATTGGTCTCTGCCGATGGAAGCTAGTTCCCGGTACTAGTGAGCGCTGGTTCATGTTCTGGGAGACCCAGTTGGACGTGGAAAAGCTGATATTTGGTGGACTTCTGACGGTGCCTGGGCCCTCTTCGACAAAAGGTAAGAGCGGACACCTGTTTATTCAAAGTCTGCTAATTGAGTGAACTAAATTATGGTCTGTTTTGAGGTCTACCAAATGTCATATCTATAGATCAGATTAGATTAAAAACAGGTTTGCTACCTGACGGGATAGAGGCCCTTAGAAAATGGAACCCCTTGATGTATCGGGGTCCCTGCCCTTTGAAGTAGTCAGGGCAGAGAGAAAAAGGAACCCCTTGATGTATCGGGGT